GGGTTCGACATCCAAATTGAAAATAAAATCGAGTTTTAAAAAATTAATTAAAACGAGCACCTTATCTAATTAGATGAACATGAACCAGAAAATTAAATTCTTTTAAAACACCTTAATTAAACAATAATTGCAAAAATTAAAAAGAGCGTGGCTCCGATACCGCTGTTGGGTTTCGTAGTGACCCGACACTACGCGGAAGGAAACCCACCAAGACCCGCCCCTTAATTAAAGCAATTAAACAAGCATAATAAACTTAATCAAACAAGATTAGGAAAAAGAATTATACCTTTGATGCGTGTTTCGCTGCCAAAGAGCTCTTACTTCAAAATCTCGAAAAGGCAAAATCTCCGACGGATCGTACCCTCGACCCGACCCGAGCGTCCTAAGTCTTGAAGGTTAGTCAAGACCCGGACAAAATAACTATGAGTTTTACGAATCATAGGTTTTCTTAGAGTTGCCTTTTTAATTCCACTCAAGGTTGTTTATTTCCAAATACCCAAGCTTGGTATTTATAGGGAAATGAACCCTTGCATTTCATTCCCCAACCAATGTCGGAGAATGTTTAATTTGCTAATTAATTTATTTCTAAACTTAATCAATAAATAGATGGAATCACAATTCGACAAGTGTCAAAGGGAGAAAGAGCATTAGGTGAGGACCATGGAGAGATGGGGGGACCAATGCCTTGCTCCCCAAGGCTTTCTCAAAGCCTTGGTCCCCACCCTCACAAAACCGCATCACCCAAGGCTGCTGGCCAGCTGCCAACTAGCACGCAGCTGGCTGTGCCAGCTAGCGAAGCATGCTAGCACAAGCCCGACAACAGCGCTGGTGCTTGCTTGTGCTGGCGCTGGTGCTTGCTGGCACAAGCCCGGCAACAGCACTGGTGCTTGCTTGTGCTGGCGCTGGTGCTTGCTGGTGCGTGCTGGCGCTGGTGCTGGTGCCAGCAACCCACGCATCATTGCTGCACCATATGCTCGCATGGCCTAGCATGCGTGCTGCTAGCGAGCCACGCATGCTGGCCTCTCACTTCGCCAGCCAGACGCACCACACTCGCACATCATGCGCCACGCATCAGCCCCTTTCGCACGCAATGCCTAGCATGCGTGCTGCTTGCAAGCCATGCATGCTTAGCTTGACATTGCCAGATTGCTAGCCCTTTTGCACACACTCGCACAACCACACGCATCAGCCTCGGCCATGCACCGTGCACCATGCACGCACATGCCTCGCCCAAGCACCACGCACCATGCATGCGCCAGTGCCTAGCACTAGCTGTTCTTGGTGCGTGTGGTCCTGCCATGCGCCCAGCATTGTGCTAGGGACGCTACGGCACCAGGTCATCCTAGGGCACGCATGGTGCGCCTAGTGATGCTGCTTAGGCTGCGATGGTGCCCAGCCATCCTTGGGCACGCATGGTGCACCTAGTGATGCTCATTGGCTTGCGATAGCTGCGATGGCGCCCAGCATCATGCTAGGGCTGCTACGGCACCAGGCCATCCTAGGGCACGCATGGTGCGCCTAGTGATGCTGCTTGGGCTGCGATGGCGCCTAGTGCCTATGATGAGCTAGCCTAGCCTAGCTATGGCTACGCTCATACTTGTCGATTGTGATTTTGCGATGCTCGGTCTCGGCGTCCTAGGCTCGTTGACGAGTGACATTTATGTCGCTCTTAGGACAGTCTTTTCTAGTAGTTTTAGTAATAATTCGGTCCATTTTAGCATGTTTTTGCTATGATACGCCTAGTTCGAGTATTCTACCTTTGTGGCGCGTAATGTGTACTCATATGATTTAGGTAGTCTATGCTCCCTTCCCCTTTTGTTGTATTACGCCTTGCTTTCCTGTTTTATGATTGCAGGTGTATGCCGTTGATTCGGACATGGAAGGAACAAGGGCAAAACGGGAAGAAATCCAGACCAGGCAAATGGCGCGGGCGCGCCACCAGAGGAGCGGTCGCGCCACCTATAGGCGCGGGCGCGCATCCCTTGAGCGCGGGCGCGTTGATGAGCTGGACCAACCATTAAATACCCACTTTGGAGCGGGTGCGCATTTATAGGAGCGGTCGCGCCATCATTTAAAGCGCGGGAGCGCCTGTCTGCTGCTGATTCAAATCCCGGTTTCACCCCAAATTAACAAAGGGGGGAGGCAAAATGGCTAATGAGGGAGAACATTATAGCATAGGGATATTATGTTAGCATAGAAACCTTAGAGGAGAGCTTTTAAGAAATTATTCTAGGTTTTTGTTTTAGCCACTTTTGTATTGAACAATCTTGATAGTTTTTAGTGTAATTTTCATTGTCTATCAACATTAGTTTTACTCTTAGTTTTTTGAAGAAGTAATTTTGCAACATTGATGTATGGTCAAGCTTGGAGATTGAATGATGTATGGCTCTTTATTTGGATTTCAATGAAGGTTTTGGTATATTTCTCTATTTTCTCTTGTTTTTATGATTAAAATTTCGACCTTTGTTAGTTTAGTTGATAAAAACTTTGTCTTTCTTACTATTTAATTGGTTATAATGTTGCTTAGTATGATTGTAGTTGTAGTTATGACTAGTGAGTAGTTTCTTGTTGCTAGGGGTTTGGTGAAGATATGCTTTGAGTTTGATGTATGCTAGGCTAGGTTAATTTTGAATATTTGTTATTAAATCTTCCTTGTGCTTATACTTATTAGCCACTCCATGTTTATGGCCATATGCATGTTGTGGTTGAATGACGTGAACTAAATCGTGACGATAGTGCGACTTAGGAATAGTCATTAGGTGATTGATTATTGCATGACCTTAGCTTGTATGCCTTACGACGATAGTGTGAGTGTATGCTAGCTAGGAAAGCTCTTAATCCCGATAGGTGATTAGAGAGTATTCTTGATATTGCCTTGTATGAGTTGCTTGGGTTACATGTAAACCTATTTTCCGATGCCCAACTTCGTTGAATTCATAGCATGTTTGATCCTTCCCCCTAGTGCTTGTTTTAATTGTTATTCTATCCCCTTTAGTCATTACTTTACCCACCATACTTCTTGATCGAATTAGATTAACATTAGGAGATAAATAGCGGTGCTTAATCGTTTCCCTGTGTTCGACCCTTAACTTGCCTCTATGCTCTTTTAGTGGCATGTTTAGGACTACAAATATCATTTGATAGAGGTGTCTTAGTAACGACCTAAAATACCGCCTGTCAAATTGGCGCCGTTGCTGGGGAAACAGTTTCCATTGTGTGTTTATTTTCTTGTTGAGACTAGTTCTTTTCTATTCTTTTGTTTTTCCGTATCTTGTCAGTGCTCACTTTTTGCTTAGCTTTGTATATGCACAGGAGGCTTAATTGCTCTAGGCCTTTGGTGTCCATAGACCTCGAGCTAGAGCGTACTCTAGCCCAATTGAGGAGACAAGCAAGGGAGAGAGGTGAAGACCCACTTCAAGAGGAAGTGAGAAGTTCCCCTACCCCATCTTCACCCACTTCAAGTGAGGAGAGCGAACCATCCACAGGCTCAATTCCCAACCCATTTGCCCAATACCATAATCAACAAAGCATGGCTGATCAAGGAAACATGGGTGATCAAAGGTCACTAAAGCAACTTGGAGCACCTGAACCTTATGATCTCAAAGTGGGATCTTAGCCCCCACCACTCAAGCAAACAATTTCGAGATAAAGCCTAATTTCATTTCAATGATAGAGAAGAGCAATTTACCAGTGGGAAATTTGAGAATCCCCATGAGCATCTCAAATAGTTTCTCAAGTATTGTGACACTATCAAGATCAACAGAGTCTCCCAAGAGTACATAAGATTGAAGATGTTCCCGTTCTCACTCATGGGAGCAGCGGAACATTGGTTGAACAAGGATGTCCCCCCCGGTTCCCTCACGACTTGGAATGAGGTAACTACGTCGTTCCTAGGAAGGTTTTACAATCATAAGAAAACCGCCGAGGCTCGCTCAAATATTCAAAGTTTCCGCCAAAGAGGTGGAGAGTCTCTTTATGAGGCATGGGAGAGATTCAAAGAGTTACAAAGGCAATGCCCACACCATGGGAGTCCTAATTGGCAAGTCCTCCAAACATTCTACGGAGGACTCTCCCCTCAAAGCAAGACTAGCCTTGATGCCGGAGCCGGAGGCCCAATCATGAACAAAAGGGAAGATGAAGTGGAGAGCATCATAGAAGATGTTGTGCGCAATTATGAGGATTGGTACGAAGGTGAGAGGGAAGCCACTTCTAGCAAAGGAACGGTACAATCCGTCGAGTAAACCAATGCCATCACAAATCTTTCCAACCAAATGGCAAAGATGGCAAAACAAATGGAGGAGTTCATGAAATCAAGTTCTCAAAATACTTCCTCCCCTTCTCCCAAGGGAGGCCATGGTATGAATCCTTCTACTTCTTCTCCCTCTAATTACAATGCCATGCCTCCCGGATGTATGTTTTGTGATATATGTGGAGGCTATGATCATAATTCTCAACAATGTATGTCCATAAGTGAAGGTCCCCCTCCCCATGAAAATGATGATAATGTTGAAGATGTTAATGCCATGAATTTTGTGCCCCGTGAGGAAAATATTGGAATGCGGCCAAATTGGAATCAAAACCTAAACCGTGGTTGGAATCAAAACCAAGGTTGGAATCAAAATGAATGGAATCAAAGTGGTGGTGGTTATGATAACCAAGGCCAAGGTAGGGGAAACTCTTCCAATTACAATGGAAGAAGCTACTCAAACCAAAGGCCCAATTGGAATCAAAACCAACAACACTATTCCAACAACCAACAACGTTTTAATTCCAATCAGGGTTCCAGGGGTAATAGACATCAAAATGCTTCTACTTTCTCACAAAATAGTAGACCCCCCGGTTTTGACCAAGTAAGGCCCCATTCTCAAATTCCCCCTACTCAACCCCTCCAAATAGAAGCCCCTCCGGATCCTATGATGACTATGCTTCAAAATTTCATTAAAAATCAAGAAAACCATAATAAGAGTCAAGAGGAAGAAAAGAAACAAATCAAGGCACACATGAAAATGCTTGAGACCCAAATCTCTCAAATTGCCCAATCAAGTTCTTCATCCTCCCCTTCTTCATCTTCTTCTTTACCTAGCCAAGGTGTCAACCCCAAGTCTATGTATGCCATTACTACTAGAAGTGGGAAGATCCTTGAGAGTGATCTAAATGTTGAGAAGAGTCCCGATGTGAGGATAGGACTTGAGGTTGAGGATGAGTCATCAAGAGAGAATGAGATTCTAGAGGGAAGTGCCGGAAAGAATGAGAGGGGTGAGAAAGAGAAAGAGAAGGAACCCGAAAAGGAGAGCACCAAAGATGAAACATCCTTACCCCTTAATCTCCAACCTAGGAATGAAAGGTTGCCTTTTCCCCAAAGATTTGCTAGGTCTAGGCTTGATGTCCAATTCGGAAAATTTTTAGATGTAGTAAAGAGCTTGCATGTTTCTATACCCTTTTTGGATGCTATGAAAAAGATGCCTCACTACTCTAAATTCCTAAAAGACCTTTTTAATGGAAGGAGAGAAGTTAAAACTGTTAACCTAACCGCAAATTGTAGTGCTATTCTCTCTAGTAAGCTACCAACCAAATTGCAAGATCCCGGTAGTTTTTCCATCCCTTGTTCCATCAATGAGATTCATTTGAGGAAGGCTTTGTGTGATCTAGGTGCTAGCGTGAGCTTAATGCCCTTTTCTGTCTACCAAAAGCTTAATGTGGGAAACCTTTCACCTACAAACATCACCCTCCAACTAGCGGATAGGTCCACAAAATTGCCTATAGGGAAAGTTGAAGACATACCTCTTAGAGTTGGTAAGTTCACTTTTCCGGTGGACTTTTATGTTCTTGAGATGGATGAAGATGAAAGAATTACTATAATTTTGGTTAGGCCATTCCTAGCTACTTCTAAAGCAATTATTGATGTCAAAGAAGGTAAGATGACCTTGAAGGTTGACGATGATTCTATCGAATTTGATTTGAATAAGGTAATGAGACAACCTTCCTCTAGCAATGAATTCTTTAGAATAGATACAATTGAAAACTTGATGAATGAGTTTAGATACCCTCATATGCATGCTTCTAATGATCTACTTGAGAATGTTTTGTTGAATGAGAATGAGGTAGGTGATCAAAAGGAGATGCAATTATATGAGTAAATGCTTGATGAGAAAGAGGAGACAACCCCCGACCAAGAGATACTCCAAACATATGAAGTCTTCCAAGTAGAAGAGGAGGAAATCTCCAATGGTAAGGGAGCTCCGAAGGTAGAATTGAAACCACTACCTTCGGGCTTGAGGTATGTCTTTTTGGATGCTAATGATACTTTTCCGGTCATTGTCAATGCTAACCTCACGGAAGAGCAAACCTCCTCATTGCTTAGTGTTTTAAAAAAGCATAGGAAGGCTTTGGGTTATACTCTTGATGATCTCAAGGGTATAAGCCCCTCCCTATGCATGCATAAAATCGATTTAGAGGAGGGTGCTAAGCCGTGTAGGCAACGGCAAAGGAAGCTTAATCCTTCCATGCAAGAGGTTGTGAGGAAAGAGGTTTCCAAGCTACTTGAAGCAGGGATCATCTATCCAATTGCTCATAGTGATTGGGTATCTCCGGTTCAAGTAGTGCCGAAAAAGGGAGGTATGACGGTAATGGTCAATGATAAGCAACAATTGGTCCCAACCCGGCTTGTTACGGGTTGGCGTATGTGTATTGATTACCGCCAATTAAATGCCAACACTTCCAAAGACCATTTTCCATTATCGTTTATCGATCAAATGCTTGAGAGGCTTACAAAGCATGCTTTTTATTGCTTTCTTGATGGCTATTCGGGATTCTTCCAAATCCCAATTGACCCAAAAGATCAAGAAAAGACCACTTTCACTTGTCCCTACGGTACTTTTGCTTACCGTAGGATGCCTTTTGGTCTTTGTAATGCCCCAGCTACCTTCCAAAGATGCATGATGTCAATTTTCAGTGACATGATCGAGGAAGAAATGGAAGTTTTTATGGATGACTTCTCCGTTGGTGGAGGCACATATGAGAAGTGCCTAATGAATTTATCTCGTTGTTTAGAAAGGTGTGAGAGTTCCAACTTGGTGCTTTATTAGGAGAAATGCCACTTCGTGGTGGAAAATGGAATTGTTCTTGGCCATAAAATCTCCCAAGCGGGCATCGAAGTTGATGGTGCAAAGGTTGATGTGATCGAGAAGCTTCCTCCTCCCACAAATGTGAGAGAAGTGAGGTCCTTCCTTGGTCATGCCGGCTTTTACCGCCGCTTCATCAAAGATTTCTCTTTCACTGCTAAGCCTCTCACATCTCTCTTGCAACAAGATAAAGAATTTGTATTTGATGAAGCTTGTCATGAGTCATTTTGTAGGTTGAAAAGGGCTCGTTGCACTGCCCCCATTGTCCAAGGACCGGATTGGTCTCTACCATTCGAGCTAATGTGTGATGCGAGCGACGAGGCCATTGGATCGGTTATAGGACAAAGAAAGGATGGGAAACTTCATGTTATATACTATTTGTCCAAGACCCTCAACGATGCTCAACGAAATTATACAACTACCGAGAAAGAGTGAGGGTGAGGGTGAGCAAAGACTTCTAGAGCTTCATGAGTTGGAAGAGTTGAGAATGAACGCATATGACAGTGCAAGCCTCTACAAAGCAAGAACCAAGGCATGGCACGACGCTCAAATTTCCAAGAAGGAATTTGTGGAAGGACAAAAGGTCCTACTCTACAATTCAAGACTCAAGCTCTTCCCCGGGAAATTGAGGTCTAGATGGAGCGGTCTATTTCAAGTATCCAAAGTCTTTCCTTATGGCTCAGTTGAGGTATTCAATGACAAGTACCCTCCATTCAAAGTAAATGGGCACCGTCTCAAGCCATACTATGAGGGTCAACTAATTGAGAAGCCGGAAAATTTATCGCTCATTGATGTTTTCAAGTCACCATGATTCCGTGTGAAGTACGTCAAGCTAGTGACGTTAAAGAAGCGCTTACGGTAGGCAACCCGGTTTCTAACCTCTTTGATTTTATTTTCTTTCAAATCGCTTTAGCTAATCCATTTAACACTTTTCCCAATCAATTTTGATGTAGGTGTGATTGCGTGTGCCCACGAGGAAAGAGAGACAAGAGTAAAGCAAAAATGAGGAATTTTGAGAAATTGTGCTCGAATGAATACTAAAGAGACTGAACCTCAGCGCGATTTGGTCGCGGCTGAAGCGTGATTCGCAAGAGTAGAAAGGCGCGGGCGCGCCTGTTTATGAATGTTAATTGCTCCCATTCCAGAAAGTAGGAGCGATTTAAGCGCGATTAAAGAGCGGCTCGCGTCAAAAAGTAGGCGCGGGCGCGCCAGCTCTTTGGTCCTAATACTCACCCAATTTTAGAGAATAGGAGCGATTTTGTCGCGATTTGTGAGCTGCCCGCGATGCCAAAGTGGCGCGGGCGCGCTTAATCGAAGCGCGGGCGCGACAATAGCTTGGTCTGATTTCCAGGGAGTTGGAGCGATTTTATCGCGATTTAGGAGCGGGCCGCGTTCTCACTTAGGTGCGGGCGCACCTACCTTGGAAGCGGGCGCGCCTTCGTCGGGAGCGGGCGCGCCATTCTGGGTTTCAGAAAAAAAATACGGTTCGTCTTTTATTTCCCCAATCTTCCCCAAACCCTCACAAACACAACATCACCCTTCTCTCCCTTTGCGGCCGCTCCTCACCACCATACTCAAGATCATTTCTTCTTCCATCCTCTTCAATCAATCATCCTCAAGCTTCAATCATTCATCTTCTCCGTTTGTTCATCATCAAAGCAAGCAATTAGTCATCCTCAACACCAACCGCGACGAACTCGTTTGCTACTCAAAACCCTCAACAATTTGACACCGAAAACAACAATTTTTCGCATAAGGGTAAAGGTATTTAATTTCCTTCGTTAATTACTCTCTTTTGATTAATTTTTAAGCAAGGATTTTGATTATTCTAGGTTATTAGCGAAATTTGATTGATTATTGTTGAAATTACTGCTGGATTTTGTTGAAATTATTGTTGTTGGTTATTATCTTAGGCTATATTCGTTGTGTCGGTTGGATTATTATTGCTTGTGAACAGGTACATTGTAGTTTTGTGGAGGTTAAGGGTGGAAATAGTCGGAGTTGGCTTTGAAAAGGAGTGAAAACAGAAAAAAAAGGAGAGGTGGGCAGTCATGAGTCTAAGGATTGGGAAGAAGAGAAAAACTGCAAAGTCGGGACAATCGTCCCAAAACCCTAAGTCAGACCAACCCAATTCCTTACCCACCTTAAAATTCTTAAACAAAAGCCACTCCTCCATATACTCCGAGATGAAAAAACGTAAGTTGCGACCTTCTAGGCACTACCATCGTGGAGACATGATAAAACTCGGTATAAACGATGATTTGTGGATTCTTTTTGACAACCTTCGACTAGGGTCATTTGTAAACTCCTCATTCATGACCTACCAAGAACCCACATTAGAGTTTTTCTCGTCTTTTCAAGTGGATAGTCTAGAAAATAACGACTTTTGAATTTCTTTCCAACTCTTCAACAACCCCCACACCATGTCATTGGCAGAGTTCAACCGAGTCCTCGACTTTCACCCTGATGTCGACATTCACTACCCTCTTTATGAGAGCTTTAGGGAGTATAGTTAGTACGCTTGGTGGCGTTCCATTTCAGGTAAAAATGAGTTTTACACCTAGACTTCCATAGCAAGGGAGTATAGTTAGTACGCTTGGTCTCTTTATTTGAATACTCACCCCTTCTAGGACGCATGCTTTCACTTTGGATATTCTCACTTGGGCGTCATTTCGGTGAGATCTTTTTTCTTTTTTTTCTCTCTCTATTTTTCGTTTGTGTGCTTTAGGGTAGCCTTAGTTTAGATTGGACTTGAATGGTTCGAGGTTGTATGCTCTTGATTCTTCGAAATCTGGTGATCGTTGGTATTGATGCCGAACGATCCTTGTTTGACGATTGGGAATTATTTGCTTGCATGCCTTTTGCCTTTATACTCCTTTGTTTTGTATCGGATTTTTCTTTTGCTCAAATCTAATCATGTGATTGTTGTATATTTTGTGTTTCTTGTGAGCAATAATTGATGGATTGCATTCTTGAATGACTTTCTTCCTAAGGATTAAGAGTTTCCACGTTCTTGGATTGCCATTGGTTGACTCTAAGATATGTCTATGCTAAGGTAGTTGTGCTAGAACTCGTAACGCCCACCGAACCCAAATTCACTTGTTTGTGGTAAGAAGGTGTTGCCCTCATTGGGGGATTTGAAGCCCTAAAGGTAGTTTTTGTAACCCGATGTGAGTTATCTTGTTTAAGCCTCCAACACTTATTGTATGAGCGGCATAGGATCCTTACCAAGGCATGCTTAGATCGAGAACTTGATGTCAAGCTACCCGAGATCGCGACCGAACTATATCTAGGGAGGACAAAGGCATTTTCTTCGGTGACTATTTTGCTTTCCTAGGGTTTAGCTTTTCATTTGTTGCTTCCTTGTAACTTCATTTGCATATCCCCCTTGCTAACCATGTTGAGCCTACATCTCCTTGTTCTTAGCATCCTACAAACCCTATGGCCCTTTTATTTCATTTTTCCCCCGTAGAATTGTGAAGTTTGAGCCAAGAAAGTTTGTTGTAATTTTGGTTTGATAAGTTGGAAGATGATGGTTTGGTATGGAAAGTAAGGTTGTCTTCGATATTTTTGGCGTTTAATAAAAGCAAATGTGAATTCCGGAAAAAGCCGTCCATAGTTATAAAAGGCACGGACAAAGTAATCCAAGGTTGACAACAGCATGCGCTAAAAAAAAAATAAAAAAAAAATAAAAAAAATAAAAAAAATAAATAAAAAAAATAATACAAAATTTTTTGCCAATTTGCAATCAGATTTTGATGTGGTGTCCTCCCTAGTTTGCGCATTGAGGACAATACTCAATTCAAGCTTGGGGGAGAGATTCTACGCATTTCATTTATAGTTTTGTGAGATTGTGTTGAAAAAGCTTGGGGGAGATGTATTTTTGTTTGGAAATTGGTGATATTCTACGTTGTTTTCGAGAATTGGCGCCATTCTTTGCTTCACAATTAGGATTTACCACCAAATTTTCATATTTTCCTCACCTTTACCTCCTAGCCTACATTACAACCCCTTTT